CATGAAGGTTATGACCTCAGTAATGCATAAAATTGAATCAGTAAGAAAGTCACCTAACAACACAGCAGAGAAACCATCTGACCATTGTAGTATTTTAGCTACTAGTCAAGAAGCTTTAAAACCTGTCAGAAGGGTGCTATAAATAGCGTGCAATAGAGAATTCGAACGATAGCCCAAGCTAATAGGGTTAAAGTTCCTTTCATTACACTAAGACAGAGCAAAAATTATTAAGAATGCCTCACATTGCAATTAGTCTGTAAAGAATATCTTACTGATAGTAAGTCAGCATTAGGTAAAATGTCTGTGAAAAATCTTAATAGTCTGCGCAGCCAGAAGGAAGTTTCTTCCACATCAAAATTAACAAATTAAATTCAACTGAACAAATGACTGAAAAAAGCAAGGTTACTGGAATATGCTGGTTGCTTTCGACTAATTTACGCAGTGAACAAAGGCTTACTCCATTTGAAACACTGTTAATCAAGCTATCATTGTTATTGTAACTAATACATATTTTATTTTAGTTTGGTATATGAATAGAGATACATGGGGGCTAAAGGGCAAGCTTTGTTGTGATTTTCTTTGTTGACCTTTTATAAGGGCTAAAACTGCTGAACAATAGACCATCTTCATCTGAGAAGTTTATTGAAAGAACCATAAAAATGAACAAGAACATGTTATCCTAGTTAGACTAGATACGAAGGAAGATGGGGAAAAAAGCCATCTGAACAGCATCAATAACTGACTCTGACTCATTTCTAAATACGTCAATAAAGAAGATAAAGAAATCCCTGAACAGCACCAATAAATAGCTGACCCCGGCTTGTTTCTAAATCTGAATGTACGGGGCAAGGTTTTCTGTTGTGGAAATTCTCGCAAAGCTACTAAAGGGCTATCTACACTAGCCGTCCCTAATTTTTTAAGTGTTAGGCTAAAAGAAAGGCAGCTAGTCCACACCAATCACCGCTAACTCTAAAGCTACTAGCGAGTAGTGGACTGATCGTCACATTATAACGCCCTCACGTTTGAAAGGGCGATCATGTTTGATTACAGGATTCGAATCCGCGATCCGAAGACTGCAAATCGAGTGCCCAAACTGCCAGGCCATGCAGGGCAAAACACTGATAAATAATGACACTAACAGCAAAGAAAAATAGGAGAAAATGGCACTAGTAATAATTGAAATGATAAAATTGAAAATGTAATAATGCAAGGTGATAATATATATCATTACGTAAGATTCATAAACAGTATTACTATATATATGTGTGTGTGTAATTAATTTTTTGAGGAATAGAAAACTGTCATTTTAAGTTTGCTGCTGTTTGCCATTATCACCGGATTCTTTATTCCTAGAGCTATTTTTTTCCTGGATTGCAAATAACGTAATTAGTAAGCTATCTGCACCACCAAGTGTCTTGATGGAATTAAGACCGTCCATAAGCTAACTACAGATAATGGTGTATAGTGTAACGAATCAATTAATGGTATTTACATCTGCTATTATGGTGTTATGTATCAATTAATGGTCTTTACTTCTGCTATATAATGTTATGATCAAATTAATGGTCTATAATTCTGCTGTATAGTTTTATGAATCAATTAATGTCTCTACTTCTGCTATATGGTGTTATGAATCAATCAGTGGTCTCTACTTCTGCTATATGGTGTTATCAATCAATTAATGGTCTCTACTTTTTCTATATGGTTTTATGAATCAATTAATGGTCTATACTTCTGCTATATGGTGTTATGAATCAATTAATGGTCTCCACTTCTACTATATAGTGTTATGAATCAATTAATGGTCTCCACTTCTACTATATAGTGTTATGAATCAATTAATGGTCTCTACATTTTCTATATGGTTTTATGAATCAATTAATGATCTATACTTCTGGTATATGGTT